TCTCATTTTTGCGTCCAAAATAAGTCGAGTATAGTTTGATCTTCATTTTCTAAAATTTATTTTTTGTTAAATTTTTTTTAAAATAACACATGAACTCATAATTTTTCTTATTTTTTAACTATTCATTTTTAAAAAAATTACTTCTCACGAAATTTATTTTTAAAAAATCTTTACCAAACAAGGACTCAATGTATTGTGCCCTCACAAGTAAACATGTGATTGAAAAGAAAAAATCGTGTAGAGTACATCCATATCTCGTTTAGAGCAACAAGTTTTTAATTCCAATATTGGAGTTGTTACATTTGCCCCCATGAATTAGTTGTGTAGTTAACTACTAGCCCGTTTGGTCCCCATTAATGTATAATACATTTTTTTTTCTTTTTAATTACACATAAATCAAAAATTTTCATTCTTTCTAAATCACATATTTTCAAAATAAAATAAAATAATAATAATAATAAAAAAAATACTACTCCCACAGTCCCAATTATACAGGCCGAGTTTCCTTTTCTTCTTGTCCCAAGTATATAGGCATGTTTCCTAATATAGAATATTTTGTTGTGTTCGTTTACCAATATGTCCTTATTAGTTTTATATACTGAAAATTAAATACGGGTAAATTAGGAAAGATTTTAGCAAAAATTAATTTATTCAATGACATTAAAGAAACTTTTTTAATTCGTGTGAAAAATGAAACAAGTATATATAATTGAGAAATAGAGAGTATTTCAAAAATTATAATATCAAATAATGGGGGTTGACCTTTATGTTTCGTCACGCTTTACGTTTTTTTAGAACGCTTAGCGGTTAAATGATAAAAGTAAAGTGGGTTAGATATCTTGTATGTATATTTCAGAAAAACTCCTTTAGATTAAGCTCTCGGATAAAAATTGATAAAATGTAATATTAGAAAGTTTATAAAATATATGCAACGTGCGAGAGTGTCGGTACGGTAATGTCCCAAAATTTATTCATCCCTCTCTTGAAGCTTGAAAATCGAAATCATTAGGTTCAAATCTCTCTCTCTCTCTCTCTCACTGTGTTTGTGCGGGAATATTTAATTGTTTTGATAAATGTAGCTGTGGGTTACCCAATTTTGGGGTTTTATGATTAGGGTTTTGTTACCGTATATTTTAAGATTTTTCATTGTTCTTCGAATGATTTTTGCAGTTAAATACCTTTGCTAACAAACAAACTCCCTGGGAATACTCAATTCAATTAATTAGAGACGAAGGATCCAAGGGGATAAATAGTTCGCCGGCCGGAGCTAAGTTAAGGTTGCGGGTGGCGAAGATGAGCGCGTCGAGGTTCATAAAGTGCGTCACCGTCGGTGATGGGGCTGTGGGTAAAACTTGCCTTCTCATTTCCTACACGAGCAACACCTTTCCCACTGTAAGTATTCTTGTACTTTTCGCTTCTTTTAAATTATCATATTCCTTTGTCTTTGCCTTCTCATATTTCCTACACGAGCAACACCTTTCCCACTGTAAGT